GTGCAATCCTTCCATAAGTTGTGGAAGAAGAGTGGAGTAGGCAAAGTTGGCCAAACCACTATAAAAACTCTCGTCTCCTTATCTTCCCATTTACTTTATTTATTTCCTGCATCATATCATCATCTCTCACGAAAATTTCCTTTAAAACGACAATCCGTGCAAAGCAAGTAAACGAATTTAACAGTTCCGCTGCGCCAAAACACTGAAAGGTTGTTTTTAGGGCAAAACACGAAAAGAGTCTATTCACCCCCCCCCCCCCCCTCTAGACTCTCGCTACAACTCTATCGGGACCAACAGATTTGTTGTAATATATTAAGAATATATAAATCGATATATAATTATTTAAATTAGAACATCAAATATTATATAGTGCAATTAAAGATATGATTTGAATCGTTTATATATTTTGATGTTATCATTGCTTGAATTTGTGCAAATAATTGCTCAAATTAATAGCTAATGTCTAGATGTACGGATGCGGTCCTATAATTGTGAAGATTTTATTTATCATTGTTTAGTATTTTCATACATTAGGCAAATGTGCTCGTTCTCTAACAACTCAGTTATAGAAATGAATTGCTATCCTTATTCATTTGTATGGAAGATATATTTTTTTGTCTAGATATGTAGCAATTTTTTTATTTTAAAAAAAAATTATTACCACCGATTATATTTACACATTATTGAAACCTCTTTGTAGACGACATTGGTAGTGACAACACAATCTTGCTCATCTTCATCTAGAGCTAACATCTTCTCCATCAAGACAGGTTACTTGGGTGAAAATATATAATGGTAGAATATCACTCAATTAGTTATCCTTTTCTATTTTCAGTCAATTCGTAATATCAGATTCATTTTCAACCAATTAAACTTTTTTATTTTCAGTCAATTTGTCAATTAGAATATCAAATGCAGTGATATTTTTACCTAACTTTCGTTCCATTTTTAATTGATGATGTAGATATTATTATTGAAATATTTCCATTACATTTTTAATTTACCTTTACTATAGTTTAAAATATGCATTTACTATTGATAATGTAGAATATTGTTATTGGAATGTTTTCTTCCAATTTTTAATTTCCATTCCATTTTTAATTAAAATGCAATAATCTGGCCATTTTTTTAGTCAATTATAGATCATTTTATATTCACAGTCAATTATTAATATTCATTTTATTTTATATTTTCAGTCAATTAGTAATATTAGATTCATTTGCAGTCAATTATTCTTTTTTATTTTCAATCAATTTGTCAATTAGAATATAGATGCAGTGATATTTTTACCTAATTTTCGTTCCATTTTAATTTGATGATGTAGAATATTATTAATGAAATATTTTCGTTCCATTTTTATTTTATTTTTACTATTTTTTAAAATATGTCTTTACTATTTGATGATGTAAAATATTATTATTGAAATATTTCCTTTCCATTTTTAATTTTCCTTTAATTTTAAACACAAAAAAAAAGAAAAAAAAAAGAAAAAAAAAAAGAATAAGGAGAAGAAGAGACTTTGGACTTCTCAATACTTGCCCACATTGATATTTTTTTTGATAAACCCAGGGTTTCCACCGTCGGACACAGTGACTAATCCCCTCGCTAAATTGTAAACACCTCTTTTGGGTGGGACAGCTGGCTTAGAGATTTAAGGCTGCTCCATTCCCAAATCTAAGGATCGAACCCTACACCTTTGGTTAAGGATGGATGACCCCCTTACACTCAACCACACCATCCAGGTTACTTGCCTACATTGATTGGCAAGCAATTATGTTAGTAAGAGGAGCATTGCTCCTCTTTCCCAAAATTTTCAATGTGAGATCAAAATGATCCCACATCATTTACAAAGGGAGTCCGTGACTCCCTTTTGTCTTCTTCTTATTTTTTTAAAAAATTTTAATTTTATTTTGTATATAGTTTTGTTTGGATTATTATTATTATTATTATTATTATTATTATTTATTATTATTATTATTATTATTATTATTATTATTATTATTATTATTATTATTATTATTATTATTATTGTTGTTGTTGTTGTTGTTGTTGTTGTTATGTTGTTGTAATTTGATTATTTGGCAAATTCACCAAAATTTTAAAAAATTCGTTTGTTTAATATTTTGTATTTAATCAAAAAATCAAAATATTATTTAATAATTTAGCAATTTGCTCAAAACTGCTAAAAACTAAAACAACACATACATTTTGGGTTAATCTTTCCAAACCCCCACTAATAATAAATAAATAAATAAATAATAAATTAATAAAAACTAAAATAAGAAGACAACACTAAAGCATCTTAAATAAGAACCTGTTGACTTCCCAATACTTGTCCACATTGATGTGCAAGTAATTATGTTTGTAAGAGGAGTTTTGCTCCTCTTATATAGATAAGCTCTCTCTTTTCAAACATTTTCAATGTGTGATCAAAATGATCTCACATCATTTACAAAAGGAGTACCCCTCATTTTTTTCTCTTTTTTTTTTTTTTTTAAAATTTTATTTTATTTTGTATATAGTTTTGTTTGGATTATTATTATTATTATTATTATTATTATTATTATTATTATTATTATTATTATTATTATTATTATTATTATTATTATTATTATTGTTGTTGTTGTTGTTGTTGTTGTTATTGTTGTTGTTGTTGTTATTGTAATTTGATTATTTGGAAAATTCTCCAAAATTTTAAAAAAAAATTCTTGTTTAACATTTTATATTTAATCAAAACATCAAAAATATTATTTAATAACTTAGCAATTTGCTCCAAACTGCTAAAAACTTAAACAACACATACATTTTGGATTAATCTTAGCCAAACACCCTAATAAATTAAAAAAAAAAAAACAGAAAAATAAGAAGCCATGAAAATAAGGTTTCTTAAATAAGAGCCTTTTGAAACGTTGGGCTTCAATATGTTGAAAAAGTCTATATGAACAGATAATACATGTAACACGGTGAATCAAATACTTATGTTGTGGAACCGTGTCCACTTTGCAAGGTAGACACGGTTCTATGTTCATAATTACTGAACTATATGTTCATAATTACAATGCTAAATATTCAGAATCTTTGAACTTCATATTCATAATTATTGAACTCTATATTCACAATTACAAAACTCTATGTTCATAATTACTAAACTATATGTTCATAATTTTAAAGCTATATATTCATAATTTTTAAACTTCATATTCACAATTATTGAGTGTCTATATTCATAATTACATAACTATATGTTCATAATTATGTTCACAACACTATGTTCATAATTTCAGAACTATATATTCATAATTTTTGAACTATATATATAATTATGAGCAATTTTAGAACCGTGTCTCCCTTGCTAGGTGGACACAATTTCACAACAAAATTTGACGTGTCAATAGTACTCAAAAAATAGCATTGCTCCTCTTATATAGAGGAGCTCAAGAGCTCCTTTTCCAAACATTTTCAATGTGGGATCAAAATGATCCAACATCATTTACAAAGGGGAGCCTGTAGCTTCTTTTTGTCTTCTTCTTCTTTTTTTTTACTTTTAATTTTGTTTTGTATATCGTTTTGTTTGGATGATGACAATTTTTGTGCACATGTTTAATTCCTATCAATTTTCATCTACGATTATTATTTTAGTACCAAAATTCATCATGCTAGTCACCGCTCTACCTAAGACATACCGAAATATGAAATTATTAAGGGTATTTTCATCCTTTTCAAATTAAGATCCCAATTTGAACATGAATAAAGGGACTGAAGCCCTTAAATCGATCCCAATTTACAATTATCCTCCTCAAATAAAAGTAGGATGAGGAGGCGAACTGCGAATTGGGACCGATCTTAGGGCTTAAAATAATAGTTGTGGGCAAAAATTGGTAGGAATTAAACACGTGGTCCAAAACTGTCATTTTGCTAATACTCGTGGGATTAAAATTTGTATTTGCTCTAATTATTACTCCGTATTAATTAGTTTCAGAGTACGTTAATACCTGATTTTGTCCCTTAACAATGCACATTTACTTAATTTTGTCCTTGAGTTTAAAAGTTACATATTTTGGTCCTTTGACTATTGATTTTGTACGCAATTCGATCCTCCGTTATGAAAATATTAAATGACAATTAAATTTGAGGGTAAAATGAGAATTTTAATTGTTGAGGGATTATTTTCTACATTATTTCAATAGTCAAGGGACCAATTTAAAAATTAACTCTTTTTTAATTTTTTTATATGAAATTTTTTCCTTTTTAATTTTTGAAATGTAAAAAAAAAAAAAAAAAAAAAAAAAAAAAAAAAAAAAACAATTACACCATGATCAAACACTAATTGTGTGTCTATTTTATACTCTCTTTATTTTCAAGATTTTCACTTACATGAAAATATGTGTTGTTTCAAACTAGACTATCAACTATCGAAAACCATCCTATTGTATTTTTGTGTATATTTTATATTGTATGGCTTAAAATTGTTCAATAAATGTATGTTAATTGGTAGAATGGAACACACTAATTTTTTTTTTTTTTTTTGAAAAGAGCCTGTACGGCATTTTATTCGAAGTATGCAGAAATAGAAGCTGGAGGAGCAGAATCCCAGTACATAGGATTCGAGTCAGTAAAAGTAGTAGATGCTAATGTATGAGCTAAATAATTATCTACTCTAGGAATGTAATGAAGTAAACAGTAATCAAATGTCGATAAACTAGTCCTGCAACTATCAATGGCATAGCCCAAGTAATCCCGTGACGAGTGTGTCGTAGAAGACAGGCATTGTTGAAGCACCAAACAATCCGTGTATAGCTCGATAGAGTTTATTTCGCGACTCCTTAACCATGACAATACTTCCTTGCATGCAACAGCCTCCGCCATTAGGGGTGAAAAACAATCTATCACTGTAGTAGCCATGGCCGCAATATAACTCCCTTGGCCGTCTAGGATAATTGCTCCCATTCTTGTCCTGTTCGTCTGTGGATCGTAAGCCGCATCGAAGTAGCATTTTCCCCTCATGCCGTGAACAGCATTGGCGCGGTGTATGTCGTAGAGAGTTGCGGTCGGTGTACTGTGACGATGGGCGTGGCAGCCGTATGTAACGCCGTGGCTATAGGCACGTCCGCACCGGTTGTTACTGCTATGGTGTGGTCTACCATGGTAGCATGGATCGACTGAGTTGGTGTTCGGTGGTGAACCGCCTTCCAAGCATTGAGAGCTGATGCCGCCATCACAACCACTTTCCGAGGCCTGGGTAAGTACGCATCCCACATAGCTCCATTCCTTGTGCGCCAAATATAATAGAGTATTGCCACTGCATAAATAATCCCGTCATCATCTAAAACATTCATCAAATCATTAAACCAATCTCCAAAAATATTTATAACATTATTGGGGATTGGAAGGTGGGATTGTGTCCAAATGGCTGCCGTGTAGGTACATTTGATCAAGGAGTGCACAACATCTTCATGTTCAATTCCACACATAGCACATGTTGGGTCAATATCAACCCTCTTTATAAGTAGGTTCTTTGTAGTGGGCAAAATATCATTTAGAGCTCTCCATAAAAATGTTTTCCACCTGGGTGGGATTTTAAGCTTCCATAACTTTTGCCATTTATCAAATGTCACAACCTGTTGGCTATATTCTCCAACTACTGTTCTGTATCCATTCTTAACAGAATATTCACCTCTTGGATCCCCATACCAGTACCACAAATCCTCATAATCTGGTGACACAGGTATTTTCAGAATTCGCTCAATATCCTCAGGTATGAAAATATCTGTTAGAATATCTTTATCCCAGGTTCGTGTCTGTTGATCCATCAGACCCACTACTTTCGCCTGTGCCAATTGGGGTGGTTTTTCTGTTAATATCTTCGGTTGTAACCCATCATGCAACCATGGATGATCCCATATCAATGTTGATTGGCCATTTCCAGTTCTCCTCCTAACTCCCCCACAAATCAATTCCTGTGCTGCCAAAATACTCCTCCAACAAAAGCTCGGGTTATTTCCCAAACATGCATCATAGAAAGAATTAGTGGGATAATACCTGGCTTTATAAACTCTTGAAACTAATGATTGTGGCTGTGTCAGGAAACGCCATCCTTGTTTTCCAAGCATAGCCAGGTTAAACGCTCTCAATTCTTTAAACCCCAATCCTCCATATTTCTTTGGAATACATAACTTATCCCAAGCTTTCCAGTGAATACCCTGATCATTATTCGACCTCCACCAATATCGATTCATGGTTCGCTCAATGGCAGCGCAAAGAGAGGTCGGTAGCAAAAAGACACTCATTGAGAAGGTAGGCATAGATTGAGCCACACTTTTCAATAGGACTTCTTTCCCTGCTTGTGACAAGAGTTTTTTATTCCACGAACTAATCCGCTGTCTTATCTTATCCTCAATATAAGCAAAAGCTGCCCTTCTGTTTCTGCCCACAAATGATGGGAGCCCTAAGTACTTTCCAAAATTCTGTGCCTGCACCACCCCCAATATATTGGCCACCTCATCCCGCGTTTCATCTCTTGTGTTCTTACTATAACAAATACTCGATTTGTGATAGTTGACAGCTTGACCAGACATTTTTTCATATTTTTTCAGACAACTTTTAATCACACCTGCTTCTTGGGCATTTGCTTTGAAAAAAAGCAAGCTATCATCAGCAAAAAATAGATGGGTAATAGAAGGTGCCCCTCTAGCAACTCTACATCCATGTATCTCCCCCTTCGCCTGCGCTTGTTGTAGTAATAGTGAAAGCCCTTCAGCACAAATGATAAACAAATAGGGCGATAGGGGATCACCTTGCCGTAAACCCCGAGTCGGAGTAATTTGTTCAATCTGTGAAACATTAATTAATATGTTATAAGACACAGTGGTCACACACATCATCAGTAGTCTCACCCATCTGTCAACAAATCCCAGCGCCATTAACATGCTTTCCAAAAAGGGCCATTCCATACGGTCATAGGCTTTCGCCATGTTGAGTTTTAGAGCCCCCCAACCTGCTAAACCACATTGTTTCCTGTTTAGGTAATGTCCCACCTCCGCAGCTATCAGTATGTTATCCGTAATTAATCTCTCAGAGATAAACGCACTTTGGGATTCAGATATGATATTCTCCATTAATGGTTTCATTCTGGCAGTAATAACTTTAGCCATAATCCTGTAGATCACATTGCTTAAAGCAATTGGCCTATAATCAGAAACCATCTCCGGGTTTTTCTTCTTCGGGATTAAAATAATATTCGTCTCATTCAGCTTACTCGGAAATGAGCCAGTATTCAAGCAATTCATAATATACGAAGAGACATCAGTTCCCACCACATCCCAGAAATGCTGATAGAATCCTGGATTCATCCCGTCCGGTCCTGGTGCTTTATCAGGATACATTGAGAATAATGCAGATTTTACCTCAATTACTTCAAAAGGGCGCAATAACCCCTCATTCTGTACTGGTGTTACACGCGGTTGTATAGTCGCAAAGAATTCATCATTAATTGTAGGAGAGCTCGATTTAAAAATGCCTCGATAGTAATCCAAGATGATATTTCTCATGGCATCTCCCTCAATCCAATCCCCACTATCATTCATTATTTTAGCAATAGAATTCTTTTTCTTTCGATTAGAAGCATACCTGTGATAAAACCTGGTGTTTGCATCCGCATCCTTGAGCCAGTGCTGCTTGGCCCTCTGCCTCCAATAAGTATCCTCCTGCAACTCAACATGTGTCAAACACTCTTCTAATCTCTGGAATTCAGCTAGGGATACTGGATCTGTACATCCTCTGAGGCGTAACTGTTCCTTCCGTAAGCACAATATTTTTTCACCAAACTTGTGGAATCGGTCTCCACCCCAGCGCGTTAACCGGTTACCACACAATGTGACACATTCCTGCAATCCCCTACCTCTTCCTTCGTCCCACGATTTTTCTACCACCGCTCGACATCCTTCATCATGTAACCATGCCATCTCAAATCTAAAACCTCTTCTCAGACCCCCCCTCCTTTCCCGAAGATTCAGAATCCCAAGGAAAAGAGCCGAGTGATCTGACTTTCTGGTTAAAATATTCTGCACACTTGCATCGGTTACCAGCTCTCTCCAATCTTGCGTGGCCAAAACCTTATCCAACCTTTCCTCGATCCAGTTTGGAGTTCCCTTCCCTTTTTCCCAAGTAAAGGGATACCCAGACATCGGTAATTGTGTCAAGCCACACTCCTCAATTGCCTCTCCAAAACCCCTCAACAAGCTGTCCGGATGAGGATTCCCTCCTTGTTTCTCACACTGGTATAAGAGATCATTAAAATCTCCAATGATTACCCATGGCAGATCCGACTTTCCTGCCAACGAACGAATAAGATCCCATGACTCCCTTCTCTGTGGTCGTTTTGAGAAGCCATAGAACCCAGTCATCCTCCATTTATCAAATCCCGGCATACTCACTTCCACGTCAATATGATTATCAGAATAACCTATCACAGTTGCTGTATCATTCGCCCTCCATAATAATGCCAAGCCACCACTCAATCCAGAATTATCCACATTCAAAAGACCATCAAAACCAAGTTTTACCCGAAGTCGTTCTGCATGATCCCGGTTAACCTTGGTCTCAATCAAAAATACAAAGTCGGGTTTCTTACGGGACACCATGTCCTCAATTTCCCGAACTGTCCGTGGATTACCCAAGCCACGGCAGTTCCAACTCAGAGTGCTCATTGGGATGGGCGGGTCTGCACTGCAGCACCCGCCATTCGCAAGTTTTTTTGTACGTCTGTCATCGTTATATCCTCCTCCACAACTCCCTCACCTCCTCGGCCTACCCCACATCCCGCATCATCCGATGGTACCGAGCTCAGACCATCCGATTCCACACCCACACCCACGACAACTCCCCTCCCAGCCTCACCATCCATTCTCCGTCTTTTTGGATCCACTCTCACCCCCTCACCCTCCCCAGCAACCTCCCTCTCCCTTGCACTTTCCGACTGCCCCATCCCACCCTTTCCCGTCACCCCAACTTCCACGGCCCGGCCCCCTAACCCGGTCAACTCCTCCCTCCCTACTGCCCCACCATTCTGCCCGTAACCCCCCATCCCAAAGCCAATTTCTTTTCTCCTTTCTTGTCCTAGTTTGAACCATTTATCCCCTATGTGCTTGGCTGGACTATTACCCCCCACCCTCAATGTCGCAGCAAACATGTACTGATCCGGGGTTAACAAAGAACGTCGAGCCGCTAAACAAAACTTATCAGTGTGTCCCATTATTCCACAGAAGAAACAGAACATATGCAGGCGGTCGTACTTGAAATTTATCCAAGTCCATGTCCCATCTCGCATAATCATCTTCATACGTCGTTTTAACGGAGCCGTCACATCATGCGTTATGCGTATCCAGTAAAACGAGGTCCATGACCTCTCAAAGTTCCGCTCATCATACCGTTTAAACACCCCCGCAAAATCACCAATCCGTTCTAACACCTTCACCGTTCGATAACCCAACGGAATATCGTAGACCTGTATCCAGAAATCCACAGTGTTCAACACCACTTGCGTTGGATCGACTCCATCCTCGAGAATTTGACAAATAAGTGTTGTGTTTTCGAACGCCCATGGCCCCTCCTCCAACACCCGGCGCATATCGGCTTCGTCAAAAAACGTAAAGAGATACAGATTCGGGAGCACATCTGTTATCTCTATTCCCATGAGAGGCCGCCAAGCTGCTGCCATGACCCTCTTCATCACCTCAACCTTGAGAATTCGATCGGTCAAGAACTTCCCGATCAACGTCCACGTTGTTCGCATAGGGGGCTGCGCCGGACCTTCGAACATTTCCTCCTCAAACCGCACTCCATCCGCATCATCCTCCAGGTTCATGTCTGCCGTTGATCCAACAAGCTCTCGTAGATTCATCCTCGCACGAATGATGTTCAGTCGGAAAACGAAAGTCTAAACCCTAGGAACGCCGGAACCCTAGAACACAGGGAGAGCCAACGCCGGAACCCTAAATCGCAGGGAGCAAAATATGTCTTACAATCAATTGATATTAAAACTTGAGAATGCTATCCTATTAAAACTTGTGAATAATGGACTATAATTTTGATGAAACAACATATATTTTCATCTTCATCTAAGTGAAAAGTAAAAATCTTGGAAATGAAAAAGAAAGTGTCAAATAGACACAATTTGTGCTTGATCATATTGTGATTCTTTTAATGCAGTTCAAAAATTAATAAGGAAAAATATTGACATAAAACAAATTCTCAAAAGAGTTACTTTTTAAATTAGTCCCTTGACTAATGAAGTAATATGCAAAATGGTCCTTTAAGTATTGAAATAATTCAAAATTATCCTTGAATTTAATAGACACTTAATGATTTGGACCAAATGGGGTATAAAATCAATAGTCAAAGGACCAAAATAGGTAACTTTTAAAGTGAGTTTTTTCCCAAAATGGTCCCTCGACTATTGCCCATTCTCAATTTTGCATTTCGACTTTCAATTGCACCCAATGTGGTCCCTTGACTTTAAAAAATTCACCCAAAATGGTCCTCCGTTAGGTTTTGCGTCAACTCAACGTTAATTGTGAGGGTATTTCGGTCAATTCACAGTAAAATTGTCACCTCCCTTTCTAGCTCCCGTCCGGCGACGAAACGGTCACCTCCTCTCCCATTTTTTTTCTTCATTCTAGCAACATCAACCTCCAGAGAAAGCACAGTACGAGCAAAATATCTCGCAAGATACCATTTTTCTGACTCAAAACCTGTTGATTCCTCAGATTTATGATTCAGATTTGGAACTGAAAATTCACCCAAAAAAACATATTGAAATTATCGGAAGCCATGCCGCCTTCAGAGATGTAAAATCTTAGAGTGACAGAGATCAGGCGGACGTTTTGGCCGGCCATCGCCACCACCGAATCCCTCTCCGTCTCCGGCAAAGTGCATGCAATCATCAGCATAGCTACTGCAACTGTGAAGATCAGATTTGAACTTCTGAACATCGTCACAGCTTCGATGAGCAAATCGCAGCCATAGGAGGGTGTATTCCATCAAAATTTCCGCAGGTCAAGAAAACCAGACACCTCCAGCTCGTTAACCACTGCTACGCGCCGGAGGAGGACCAGCCGAAGGTCGCCGGTGTTAACCACCGTCATCCCCGCTCGCTGTCTTGCCGAAAAGAAGCCAGAGGCCAACATCGCTGCTTGTCGCGTTGGTTTCTCCGTCTGATTGCTTATTCGACGGAGAATCGGAGCCTTCCACCGATGTGAATTGACCATAATACCCCCACAATTAACGTTGAGTTGACGCAAAACCTAACAGAGGACCATTTTGGGTGAATTTTTTAAAGTCAAGGGATCACATTGGGTGCAATTGAAAGTCGAAATGCAAAACTGAGAATGAGCAATAGTCGAGGGACCATTTTGGGAAAAAACTCCTTTTAAAGTCAAGGGCACTTAATGATTTTCTAATGGAGGAACCAAATTAGGTACAAAATCTATAGTCAAATGACCAAAATAGGTAACTTTTAAAGTTAAGAATAAAATTAAGTAAATGTGTAAAGTTAGGGACCAAAGCATGTATTAACTCTATAAAGTACTAATATGGTAACTAATATTTAACCCAAAAAAATTAATAAATTTAACCGCGTTAATGTCTTGGCTTCTTAGGATTAGAAAATATAAACCCTAAACTTGTTGCTTAGCTTATTTAGGATTTAGATAAGAGTGATTGATAGCTATAGATTGACGTGCATTATATCAAGGATTCGATCCTTTTTCTCAAATTCTGTCCACTGAATCATTGAGCTAAGTCTGTGCGGGCAAAGGTTCGATCCTTGACTTTGGGTATGGAACAATCTTAAATCTCCAGACCAGCTGTCTCACCCAAAAGATACGCCTACAATTCAGCAAAGGAGATTAGTCACTATGTTCAACGGTGGAAACCTTGGGTACACCTAAAAAAATCATATCATGAAAACATAAACATTGTTTAACTTCTTTTTTTTTTTCTTTTGTTGTTTTTTTTATAAGTAATCGCAGTTTCGCCAAACTAATTTTAAATCCACAGGATCCCGCCCCTAAAACCACTACGTAGGTAAATCGCGAGTCCTACTTTTCATGTACGCACAAGGGATCCAATCCAGATCGCGCAATCAACCCACTAGTTAGATCCTAGCCATCATGTGCACAAACATTATTACATGGACCATAGTCCATACAACTGTGTAGACCATAAATAAAAAGTACATTTTTAATATGCTAAAAGTACATTATTTGTGTACATAAAATACATTATTTATTAAAAAAATAATATTTGAGTACTGAAAGTACATTATTTTATATACTAACTTTTCAAGTGCGATAATCATACAAAACAATTAGAACCGTAAAGAAATGTGTTTAAAGGCAAGCAAGCTCAAGTAATCCTCAACCTTATATTAGCCATTGGCATTAACCATTTAACGATCATATCAGATTGTATTGCTATTTAAGCGGGGCAGGGCCGTATTTTAAGTTTTGGTGGCCCTGTTCTGGTAAATAAATGTGGCCCTACCAAAATCACAATTTTTAAAATCAATACATATAAGTTTCGAACCTTTGACCTCCAAGTTAAAATACAACAAATACACATTCTTACCATCTCTTCATAGAACCTTTTAAGTTTAATTGAAAATTTTTAATTTTTATTTCTAAACTAGCTAGGTAAAAATTAAATATTGGACCTATAAAATTTGGGACCCCTCTAAAATTGGGGGCCCTGTGCGGTAGCCCAGCTTGCACAGCCTAAAATCCGGCCCTGAAGCGGGGAATGACACATAATCCCTAAATAATCGTCCAATCATAAATTGTTGTTGTAATCTCTATCCCAATACCCTCCAAGACCATCTATATAATGCATTGCTCAACTCCATTTTCGTCAAGCCAACGTCGAGGAAACATTATCTAGCTTGGAAGGGCACACTCTTTAATAATATATTTATACCCTTTCTTGCCAATATTCTTTTTCTCCCACCCCAATAACATGGGTTCTTTAACAAATAATGTTATGGTTTCCCTTATGAATATTGGCACTCTTTTATGTTTCCTCTCGATGGTTTCACCATCCACGGCCTCCATTTTGACCGACCTGAACAAGTTCAATATCAACTAATTCGATCTTTTGATCATATATATGGATTGAGGTTGGACGTTGGTACATTCTTGTAATCCATGTACATAAAGTGCTTTGAAATTATGAATGGAAATTAATTTTCTCCTTAATTACTGAGGATGAAGTTCTATGAAATATAATTGTAAATGTGTTTATATGTCACGTTAAAAACTGAATCCAACCAAATACTGTTTGATTTTTTAATAATAATAATAATGATGAAGAAGTAAATCCAAACTTCTAATTACTAAATTCTTAATTGTAGACGAATGCCGCTTGTTCACTCCGACACTCTTTGCCTCGCCTGCAAAAATGAACAATGAACCTTTCCTCATGTCTTTGAAATGTGACTTTATTGTTGAGTCTGGGAATTGATGTATGAAGTCAATTTGAAGGACCATTTTAAGACACTCGAAAGTAAAAAATGTTACATATGGGAGTGGAACATTGTTGTTCATGGTTATGATCATGTGCATTTAGGTGATTTCCTATTTCAGTCATTTCTAATTTTGATGAGTAATTTGGATTTGAACAAAAATGTTTGCTAGATTATATAAATAAATCATAAAAATACTTTATCTTGGTCCATTTGGGTTTTTAAATTTTTTTGAGGGAAAAGGTACAAATAAGCCAGTGAACTATTTGGGGGATAACAATTAAGCCACCAAACTCGAATAAGCTTCAAAATAGTTCAATTGACAAAATAGTTCAATGACCTATTTGTACCTTCCCCTTTTTTTATTTTTTTTTATTTTTTTTAAAGATGTTATAATCTCATGATTAAACGAGCTTGATTGAACTCAATGGATGCAAAATGGATTTTTAATCCTAAATTATTTGTAAAAGTAATTAATTAATCATTTGCACTAGAACATTAGAAAATGTTGAGAACTGAGGTTCCTAAACCATGTTGGAAAAAATCTTAAATAATGGAGTTGTACTTCTAAATATTATTTTAGTTTGGTAGAAAGTAAATGGGAAAATATGAATATTACGTGGGACCGAGACGTTTATATCCGAGAGGATAATTTTCGAGTCGTTGACTTCGAATTGTAATTTAAGAGAGGTTAAATTAAACATTCAAATGATGAGTTGATATGCACGTACAATTCGTTGGTGTTAACAAATTGTTGAATTTTGTACAAATCGTTGCTTAACGAATCAGATGGATTTTGTACAAACGTAATTATATTTTCCTATGACAGATATATTATTTAAATATCTTGTGGAAGTTGGTGTTTTTAAATATTTAGAGAGACATCTGAAAGAGAGACATACAATTAAATTGCAGTATACCTTGATATATCACAGTTCTACAATTCTACAGGAAATTCTTAAACAAAGCAACTTAAAAATTTCATTCATCTTCTTGTATCTCATATGATTAAATCTTGAACCTTGTTGCTTTATATGAGGGAGATTTAAAGCTTATAGGAAAGTGATTACACGCCTCAAGATCTCGTTTCCTCACTTCTCTCTTACCAGCCACTCCAGATATCTTATTTTTCTAACAATCTCTAAGCTTTAAAACTGTTTCTAAGGAAGTATGAGTTCTGGGTTCCTTGACTTTGTAACCAACTTTCCAAAGTTGGAGCGCACAGAAGAAGATGAAGTTCCTCATTGCAGCTCTGAACATGGCATACGTGCTAAGTACCCCGAAGCCGGAGGAACAAGAGAATGAGACTCTCGAGGCTACTCGCCGGAGACTCAAATGGGAGAATGATGACCTTGCCTGTCATGGCCATATTCTAAACTGTATGT